GTAGCTGGGACTACAGGCATGCACCACTATGCCCGGCTAATTTTTTTTATATATATATATCAGTTGGCCAATTAATTTCTTTCTGTTTATAGTAGAGACGGGGTCTCGCTCTTGCTCAGGCTGGTTTTGAACTCCTGACCTTGAGCAATCCGCCCGCCTCGGCCTCCCAAGAGCTAGGATTACAGGCGTGAGCCACAGCGCCCGGCCAATTCTAGAACTTAAAACACAGTATGTATTAAGGACTCAAAAATGTTTTCTGGTTGAGGGATGAATGCTTGAAGGTTGATCAGAAATGAACAAAGGGCCTCAGGAGCACTGATTTGTTTAGGTGGGTGGGATCAGGGAAGGCTTCACAGAGGTGGTGACTTTTGAAATGGGCTTTGATGGAGGGGTAAAAGCCCATTGGGCAGGAGAAAGAGCATGAGGCAGTATCCAGACATGTGGCAGTGGGCCCTCCCAAGAGCTGTGGATGTGAATTCCACAGGCAGGCTTGGGTCCTAGACCCTGATCAAAACTTACCCCTCTCCTTGCGGCCTGTACTGGTACACGGAGCAGGAGGAACTAGCAATTTATTAAATGCTAAAATACAACTTTTCAGAGAAGAAGAGACCTAAGGGAACTTCTAATCTAACTTCCCATTTGATAGGTAAGAAAACTGAGTCTCAGGGGGCTGACATGACTTAACAACACCATGCAGCAGGCTCGGCAAACTTGGGCCGTGGGCTGAACCTGGCCTCCTGCTTGTTTTTGTCAATAAAGTTTTACTGGGCCACAGCCGTGCCCATTTTTATATTGTACCTTTGGCCACAGCCATGTCCATCTTTATATTGTATCTATGGCTGCTGTCTTGATTCTAAAGCAGAGTTGAGTAGCTGCAAGAGACAATAGGATTTGCAAAGTCTAAAATATTAATATCTGGCCTTTTGCAGGGAACAGTTCACTGACCCCTGTCCTACAGCACGGTAGTCGAAGAGCCAGAATGGGAGCCAGGCCTCCCAACTCCTCATCGGGTGCTCTTTAACTCCTGTGCACCCTCACCCCTCTGGGCCCCCCTTGCCCCCTGCAGCACTGCTCACAGGGTGGATTTCAGGGAGCCAGGCTCTGGGCCCACTCCTAGGCTGGCCGCTGCTGTCCCCAAGACCCAGCAGGGCTTCCAGCTGGGAGAGTTCATCCCTTCTTGGGGAGTCTGGAGGGAAATGCCAAAGTGCCCCTACTTCCCCATGGGTGACATGGGGAGCGCCGGGGAGCGTAAATGTACCTGACTCGTCCAGCCAGATGCTGGAGTCACAGACACAGCCTTTAAAGAAGCGTGTCAGGGAGGACTGGCACCTGCAGCCACCTGCTGAGAGGGCCAAGTCCACTCTGTGCTATAGAATTCCTTTCTCAATGCCAGGCTGTTCCTGGTGGATGCATTTAATTAAAACCCCACCAGATCCAATCTGTCAGAAGCTCTGGGCTCACAGATGCTCTGTCCAGCAGGTCATAGGGATGCAGACAGACCATGGGCCCAGGCCATGGCACCTGGTCCAGTGGCTAGCCTAGAACAGACCCCACAGGCCCCAGGTCAGCACCCTTCCCGGGACACCTGGGGTTGTGCTGTGGTGTGACTTTGCCCGCCCTGGGCCTCCCACTCTGTCCATCCTCCCTGTCTCTGCGCCCTTCAAACCTCAGGCTCATCTTTGGGGCCTCCCTCTCACTAAGTCATTCATTCAACAGAGGTTTATGAAGCGGCAGCCATGAGCCAAGCCCCCCTCTAGATGTGGGGGATGGATTGGCAAACAAAAGAGACAAGAATCCCTGCCCTCAGAGAGCTACAGCTTCACCCACAAATGCAGGGCGTCCCACGCTGCGGCGCACTCTCCTCTCCTCTCGCCACCCTTCTTCTCTCCCCTCCTGAATCCTTGCACCCTCTGCTTCCCTCTAGCTCAGCCCTGAGCACTTGAAACTGGACCATACAGAGTCCTAAAAAGTTCCCTGTCCACCCACTGCCACTACCCCGGCCAAGGACGCCAGAAGATTTGGCTCAATACCTCCTCGAACATGTCCCTCCCCTACTCAGGAGCTCTCAATCGCTCCCCATTGCCCTCAACGGAAGACTCTTACTCCTGAACCCACCCTCCCAAACTCCCCAAATGTTAGCCCCTGCCCACCTTACCAGCCTCCACTTTTCAACGGAACTTCCTGTTCCAAGAACACCAGAAGAATTTTTGCCGTTAGGTGTATAATATTTATCATTTTTTTACTTGCAAAAGTAATAGATTTTTTGTAGAAACATGTAGCATGTATAAAAAGAAAATTAAACTCAATAGTGAACCCATTATTCAGGGATAAACTCTGTGATTTTTTTAGTGTATATTCTTCTAGCTGCTTTTTTGGTGTGTATACATAAACATTTCTTATGTTTATGTATTTAGTGTAGGATCCTGCCATACAGAAAGTGTTGTATTCTGCCCTTTTTATTTAACATTATATGGTGGTTTTCTATGTAATTAAGTGACTCCTTAAGAACAGCACTTTAATGGCTGCACAATATTCCACCACATAAATATACCTTAATATGTTTAACCAAACCCTATTGGTGAACATTTGGACTGTTTACAATTTTTCACAATGAAAATGCTGCTATAAACATCCTTGTTCATAAATCTTTGTTCTGATCTCTGGTTATTTTCCTAGCAGAGATTCCTAGAAGTGGCATTGCAGGGTCAGCGGGTAGATGCATTTCTAAGGTTTTTGATGCATATCTTAAAGCTGCCTCTCTGAGTCTGCCAGTCCCCACTCCACCCCCTTTTGTGAGAATGCACACCGGTCCCCTAAGGTCATTTTCTCTGCCCCTAACACACCATGTGTCTTCCTAGCACCGTACCCTTGCTTCAGCAGCTCCTCTAGTCGAAACCCTGTGTTTCCCAGCCACCCTTCAGAGCGCAGGGCAAATGCCACCTCCTCCAGAAGCCCTCTCTGAGACCCCAGCTGAAGTTCTCCACCTCCAGCCCTCCTTCAGCCTCTGTCTTAAACCCCTCCTAAAACATTTACCACCTTTGCCATGCATTTCTTTCTTTCCTTTTTTTTTTTCACCATGATAGCCTGCCATTGAGTGCCACACATTTTAATAATTTGTGTAATAATAACCTCTGCTTTGCATGGGGCATGGAAGTTTTCAAAGTGCTTCCACTGATAGGTTTCATCTGATTTATGCCCAGGCAGAAAGTGTTTTGAGGTCAGGGACCTCTGTTTGATCCTCTGGGTCTATTTCTCCTGGCCACAACGGCAACCTCACGTCCAGCGCCCCCCACCCTAGCCCCTGATGCGTGGAAAGGTTGAAGCAGCCTGCACTATTCCACTATCCCACTATTCCTCATCAGAACAGACTTTAGCATGGGGCAGTAAAACAGGACTGAGCAGGACAGCGGGCCCTGGATCCCAGTCCTGGTTCTGTCGCTGACTTGCTGTGTTGTGGGGCTGGTGCCTGCTCCTCTCTGGGCCTCGATTTACTCATCTATAAAATGAGACAGTTTAACTGCGTAGTCTCCCACACTCCAGGACTGATTGCTCCTAAGGCCCCTGTCCCCAGGCACCCAGAGCAGGGCCGTCCTTGGGTTCCTGAGGACCCCGGCATGAAGCCGGCCTCTGGGATGGGCCGGAGGGAGCTGGCCAGGGAGGCAGGCCTGGCTCCAGGCCAGGCTGTGTCTGCAAACACTGACCTTGGCTGCCGCAGGGATTTTCCATGACACCAGCACCCTCCCTCTCAGCTCCCCTCAGCCCACGTGGGCCTGGAGAGGGTGGGGGATGGGGGCATTGGGGGCTGTCCTACACCAGAGGTCCCTAAATCAGTACTAGGGGCACCTGTGGATGGGGACAGCTAAAGGTGAGAGAGGTGAGAGCAGTGGGCCCACAGTGGCAAGTCTGGGAGGACGGAAGGGGCAGGGAGAGAACCTGAGCTCGGGTGTGGGGGAAGATAGGTCAATGGGCGAGAGGCCTTGGGAAGGGGCAGGGAGGAGGCAGGGGACAGGTGCTGTGCTTCAGAGGGGACAGACTCCAGACCCGGTTCTGCGCATGGGTCCCACTCCCACCCCAGCTCCAGGAGGCCCTGGTGGTTTCCCAGGCCTAGCTCGGGGCTTGGCCAGGCCGGGCTGGGGGGATTCCTTCGGGGGCCTTGAAGCTGACCTTGTTTTGAAGGGGCCAGGGAGCTACAGCGGGCAGGAGCTATTAGTCACCAAAGGCCCTCCTGCCAAGGGTCACCTCCCCTCCCCCTCCTGGGTGTCTAAGGGGAGGTCTGTCATCGCCATCACAAACTTCAGAGTCCTTCAGAATCGGGGCCTTCTGGGTTTAGCAGCATTTGCTGAGGGGACTTGCCAGCCCTGCAGGAGCGCAGAGCCCCACAGGACTCCTCTGTAGACAAGAGTGCACCAATACAGGGCCAGGGGCATACAGGGGGCAGAGGGAGAGGTGGTGTCTGAGCTGGATGCAGAGTACCCCCTCCCCTCTCCAGCAAGCGCAGCCCTGCCCTCCCCCTGCAGGGCCCGCACACACTGGCCCTGGCGGCTCCTTCCGCCTCACCTCCTTTAACACGCCAGTTAGGCGCCAACTCCACTCTGCCGCCACCTCCAGACCAAGGGGCGGCTGCTATCTGTGCCTCAGGCTCCCAGGAGTCAGGGTCCTCATGGGTCCTTTCCTGGGTGTCCCTCTGAGCCCAAGTGCCCGGCAGGAGAGCCCAGCCTTCCTCTGGGGTCCCTACGTGTTGCAGCCAGTCCTCCAGAGCAGCCTCTGTCTCCCTGGAGCCCGCACTCCTCTCTGGCTACCCACCAGCCCCAGGCAGCACCGGGGTCAGGCCCTCCCCCACTCTCAGCAGCTCTTTGGGCACTCAGGCCACAGGTCCCTCATCCATCTTCCCCCAGGACAAACATTAGCCTAGCCAGTGCCATATTTACATTAGATAACTAGGTCAGCAGGGAGACAGGATGCAGCCGTGCATTGCCAAGGCTGCGGTTTCTAATCCACAGAAGGGCTGGGCCACCCAGAGATGGGAGATCAAAGAATCTCAACGTCAGAGACCTGGAGGAAGGACCTTAGAGGTTTCTGATGCTACAAAGGAGCATTTCCCAAACTGTGCTTCGAGAAACACTTGTCCCGAGGTCGCACCATGAGAAAAGTGCTCCGAGGTCAAGTAAGTAGGAAAACGTAGCCCGTTCTCCCAGCTTTGACTGACCTTGCACATTAACACGTGTATGGCTCTGGAAAGCCACAAGTAAATCAAATGACAGCGAAGCCTGTCAAATTCAGCATTTCCCAATTCAACTTACCCAAGCGACCCTAGAACGTTGGTGCTGAAAGGAACTTTAAAGATCATCTAATCTTGGTGTTCTCCAAAATATTCGAACTAATCGTTAATATTTATTGATCTTAGTATCCTAAGCATTTTAAGTGTACTTACTCATCGTGTCCCCACAGCAAGTCTTTATCATTCCCATTTTACAGATAAGGTGGATTCAGTAATTGGCCAAGGTTAAAAGCTGTTTGGCTCCAGAGTCTGTGTTCTTATTTACTCCACTCAACTGCAGAGATCTCCTACTTATTTTCAGTATTTCAATCACAATAGCTTCATTCAGTCTCATAGAAGCAATTATCTTATGCTAATCAGAAGTTCTGACTGGCAGATGTGTTTCTTAATTAATTTTGATGGGGAAATTAATTATGGCTCTAACAGCGATTTGTTCAGTGCCTGCTCTAGGTAGGTTGCATGATGCACTGATCAGCACATTGTGCTTCAGAAATAAAATCTTTCAGGATTTTGATTCTCTGAATGGGTCAGATGGAGAGGAAATAATAAAGGACATCTATAGCAATTCAAAACCTCCTCTCTTGCCCTGTCTCCCACGTCACAGATGAGGAAAACTGAGGCCCCGAGAGGGGTAGGGACTTGCCAAGACACAAAGCTAGCTTTGGTCAGGGTCAGGTCAGACCCCAGGTGTCCTGCCTCCTAGCCTCATGCTCTTTCCTCCACCCAAGGCCATGGCCAGCATCCTGGCCTTGTGGCCAGCTAGGCCAGGGGTAGGAGGTCAGGCCGGCAGGCAGGCATAGGAAGCCAGTGGGCAGCAGGCAAGGCCATTACCAAGGGCTCACGGTGGCTACATGTGCTTTGGCTAGAAGGAAATAGGCCATAGGGAAAGATCAGTGGGAGGGAGGGCCAGACCCAACCCCACTCCTCACCCCCACCCCACCTCTCCTAGGAAGACAGAGCTTCAGCCGGTTTCTGAGCTCCCTAGTGATTCTGGGGAAAAAACAGAAGAATTGAGGCTCAGGGGTTTCCGTCCTACCTCTCAGTTTTCTTGCTGCCCTAAAACATACATACTAGCAATTCTGTTTTTATGTCCAGTCACTTGACTTCCTCAGTGAATTGTGTGTCTCCAGCCAGGTTCCGGGGCCATCTCTTAGCTGAGTTGCTCCCTGGTTGAATGAGTCGGGGGCAGTGGACAGAGCACTGATTTCAGAACTAAGTATCCTGGATCATAGTCCTGGTTCTGCCATTCACCAGCTGTGTGGCCTTGAGCAGGTTGCTTTCCCTCTCTGGGCCTCCATTTCCTCATCTATACAATATAAGGACTAGATCGAAGTATTGCTAAGGGCCTGTCTCCGAGAACCTTACAGTGTATGGTGGATTCAGGGAAGGGAGGTGGGGTGTGGGGGGATACTCCCCGTCGGTGCTCTCGGAGGCACCAGCTGGAGTCTTGTGGGTCCGGGCATGATTCTGGCTGATCAGTCGGCAGGTGCCGTGAGAGAGGGTCCTCAGAGAACCAGCCCCAGAGAGCAGCGTCTGTGCATGCTGGTGCCACACAGGACAGATGGCCCTTTGCAGGCCGGACAGAAAGGAGAAGAGGAAGAACCCCTCCACCCCCTCCCTCGAGAAGCCAAGGCTGATGTGGACAAGGGCCGGCAGGCGGCAGGCCTGCTGGCAGGCGGACACGTCTTGCCAAACTCCCACTTACTTCCCAGAAGTTCCAGGGCCCCCGGGACTGGCTCCACCCAGCTGGCGCCCCCCCAAGCCGGGTGCCCACGTCAGCAGGTCCTCACGGCTCCTTTGCCCTTTCACCCAGGGACAGCAGGACGGACGAAGGGGAGGGGGCGCGCTGACAGCGCCTGATGCTTGGAGGAGCGTGTCGCCCTGTGCGTCCCTCGCCACCGCCGCTTCTGAGGCTGAGGCTCCGACTGCAGTGCCCTGCTCTCGGGGCCTCAGTTTCCCATCCTGGTTGCCCTTCCCGGGGTGATATGTCGGCTCCTGAGCGCAGGAATGAACGCTGAGTCAGAGAGGCCTAGTGCCCTTGGCCAACTCACAAGGCCCTTCCAGACTTCATGACTTCAACTGTGAAATGGAGATAGTCATAATAATGACGTTGTTAGGAGTTTTTGAGGATTAAGTTAAAAATATATCTGAGGGGTAAGAGCTTATGACGAAGGCTCAGCCTGCGGGAGGAAGTGAGGGCAGCCCCGGGGGCATCTGACCCCAAAGGCGAGGCTCGTCCAGCCGAGGTTGCCCTGGACGGGGCAGTGACTGTGGTGGGGCACGAGGTGCCGCGGCTGACAAGAGCCTCTGTCACTCTGTCACTTGCTTTGAAAGTCACCGAGTTCAAGAGGAGGAGAGGCAGGGGACGGGGTTGTCACTTGCGCTGGGACTGGGTCCCGAGGGCACTGAGGCCTGGCCGGGAGGGGAGGGGCAGGGAAGCACTGCGCAGGGAAGGTGCCCGCACAGCTGGGCTGGGGCGAGGATGCTGCCAGGTGACAAGAAGGGCGGGGGAAGGATGTGTTGCTCCTTGAAGCTGGGGGCTTCGTGGCAGCCCACGGTGGGCAGCAAGGCACTGGCCTTTCCTAAGAGATGGTGGACCCAGAGAAGTCACAGCTTAGGAACGAACAAGGGGCAAGGTGGTGGTGGCGGTGGACAGGGGGTGCCTGACCCCACGGAGATGGCCCAGTCCCCAGCGCTGTGCTCTCAGGCCGACTTTCCCCCATGAGATCCCATCACCACCGCTTCTGCCTCTCGCGCCACAGGTTCCAAAGTACTTGCACGTCCAGGCTCTCCTTTCCTCCTGATGGCAGCTCTGGCGGGCAGCCAGGGTGGGGATTAATAGCTCTAGCTCAATCCCCGGAGTGCAGACAAGGCAAGCGAGCCCAGAGAGGGAAAGGGATTTGCCCAAGGTCACACAGCCATCGCGTGGTCAGGCTGGGGCCAGGTGCACACTCCCCGTGGAGCCCCATCCACAGTGCCATGCCTTCCCCACACACCAAGCAGTGCTGGCCTGGGAGGACAGGGAAGGACGGGATGAGAAGCAGCTCTGGCTCGGGGCCTGCCCAGCTGTCGAGGTGAGTTGTGGTCTGGCTGCCGTGGCCGGGCTGGCGGCACAATCTGTTCTCACCCTGCTGGGGTGCAGACGTCCCAGGCACAGTGGCTCAACAGCTCATCTGTCCAGGTCCCTGGCAAAGGGTGACACAGTCACTGGCTCAACACTGTGGTGGGGGGCAGGGGAGCTGTTTCTAAGAGCAGCCCCACAGCCCTGTACACCCCTGAGCAGCTGTCTCCAGTCTTCCCTGAGCTTTAAGATCCAAATGGCCCTGGGTGGACAGAGATGCCAGCTTTACTGGGACTGAGCCCGGGTGCTGTCTTGGAAACGTAAGAGTAATCTGGTACCTTCATTCATTATTAATCACAGTGAGCTATTATTGAGCACTTGATATGTACCAGGCTCTAGGCTAAGTGCATTACACACATTATCTTTCTTATTCCTCCCAAAATCCCTGTGAGGCAGATGCTACTTATTAGCCCCATTTTACAGATGTGGAAACTAAGGCTCAGAGAGGTCAAACACACACACACACACACACACACACACGCGTGCCCTAGGTCATTAAATATGAAATGTCCAATTTTTAATCACAAGTTTAGTTTATTATATCTCAAACAAGAAGCAGTACAATTAATCAAAGCATGCACCTAAACTATCGCACAGTTTTGCCATCTTAACGGTAGCTGTTTATGCCAGCAGTGAAGAAGCCTGGAGAGAGAGTGGTGATGAAATCTCAAAACGCATTTTCCACGGCTTGTTCAGAACTGAATATTTTTCCTTGCAAGAAGTGGTTCAAAGCCTGGAAGATGCGGTAGTCAGTTAGCTCAAGGTCTTACGAATATGGTGGATGACGGAGAGTTTCCAAGGCCAGCTTCTGTAGTTTGAGCAACGTTGTTTGTGCAACATATGGTCAAGCATTGTCTTGCAAGAAGATTGGCCTGTCTCTATTGACCAATCCTGGCTGCTTAATCACAAGCATCCTCATCATTTTGTCCAATTAGTTGCAGTTGACATCCGCTGTAATCAACTGTCCAGGTTTCATGAAGCTGTAGTGGATAATACCAGCACTGGACCACCAAACAGTCACCAATAGCTTTTTTTGATGAATATTCCGTTTTGGACTGTGTTTCGGCACTTCATCTTTATCCAACCATTGTGCCATATGCTTGCGATTGTCAAAAAGAATCCATTTTTCATCACACATAACAATACGATGTATAAATGGTTCGTCTTTATGTCATGACACCAAAAAAAGGCAAGCTTCAAAACAATTTCTCTTCTGATGCTCGTTTAATTCATGCAATACCCATCTATCCAGCTTCTTTACCTTGCCCATTTGTTTCAAATGGTCCAATATTGTTGGAATAGTAACGTCAAACCTTGCCACTAATTCACCCGTAGGCTGAGATGGATTTGTTTCCACAACAGCTTTCAGCTCATCATTATCCACCTTGGTCTCAGGTCACCCACGTGGCTCATTTTCAAGATTAAAATCACCAGAAAGGAACTTCTCAAACCATCAACCTACTGTGTGCGTTCATTAGTCACATCCTTCCCAAACACTTTGTTGATATTTCGAGCTATCTGCGCTGCATTGTTTCCATGGTGGAACTCATATTCGAAAATAACACAAGTTTTTGACTTAACCATGGTTTCACAAAAATTGCTCTTAAAAAAATGTGAAAGATAATCACAAGCCAAAACATGCGTTTGAAAGACCGAAGATGTACCTTCACAATAAACATAAAATAAGAAGTGTCAAAGTGAAATGTCAGAGATAGCACCTGTCAAACTTAGTACTTAAGAGAAAGGGACATTTCATACTTAATAACCTAATAGCTCATGACAAAGTCAAGACGCGAACTCAGGTCAGATCCCAAAGTACACAGCATCCTGCCCTGCAATTCAGTCATCACACGAATTTTGGGCTCACGTGGGTGTGCCTGGCAACATGGAGGGGGATGCTAGAGAGGACTGTGACAAGCCAAGCAGTGCCCGCCCCTTCCCCACAAGCTAGTGTTTAGCTGTGTGCCATCGGGGGCCCGGGGGAACGGGGTGGTGTTGGGAATATTAGCCCTGGAGTTCAAAGCTGAACATTCTCAGTGCCACTTAAGGCAGAGATCACTTTTAGTTGTGAAGTATCCAGGAAAACAACATGGAAGAAAAAACATTTGGTTAAGATTTGATAAAGCCCAGGAAGGAGGAAAAATTGAAAAGGCTGCCAGCATTATTTTATCATAATTCTATTCATAACAGTAATAAATATCTCAACAGTGAAAGAAGCAAGGCCAGGACCGGAAGACCACACTTTCCAAATAAAGAAACATGCTCAGAGAGGGGGAGCAATTTGCCCAAGGTCACACAGCCACTAGAGAGAGGGCCAGAATTTGTGCCCAAGGCTTCTGTGTTCCCATCCAGGGTCATTTTCCCTCCAGGTAACCAGGCAGAATTCTTGACTTAAGGCCATTTGATGGCTGGCTCAGAGAGAGGCTTTGCCTCTGCCCGGCTCCTGGCTCAGTGAGGGCAGGGGTGGGGCTGGGAGGCACAGAGGTTGTCTGGCTGGTGATAGTAACACATCTGGAAGGACAGCAAGGGCTCCTGGTTTGCCAAGAGTAATGCCACCTGCCAATGAGGACAGACCCTACTTTGGGGCCAAGCACAGAGGATGACCTCAGAGCCCCAGACTAGGGGTGGGTGAAGACCCTAGAGTACTCATTCATCCAGCTGTCTCCTTCCTCCTTCTCTGGCACTGGTGGGCCCACTGCCCAGGGAATCTGGAGGGCCCCAGTGGTAACCACCACCCCTAAGCTTTGGCTGACAGCAGGGAGATCATCAAGGAGACATCCTCCTTGATGAGAAGCCATGTCCTCTCTATGCCTCAGTTTCCCTCCCTCCATACTGTATCACAGAATGTCAGAACCCATTCAGTCCAACCACCTCCCCTTAATAAATGAAGGAAACCAAGGCACAGAGAAGACAAGATGCATGCCCAGCCAGGCGTGGTGGCTCACGCCTGTAATCCTAGCACAGGGAGGCAGAGGCGGGCGGATTGCTTGAGGTCAGGAGTTCGAAACCAGCCTGAGCGAGAGCAAGACCCCGTCTCTACTATAAATAGAAAGAAATTAATTGGCCAACTAACATATATAGAAAAAATTAGCCGGGCATGGTGGCGAATGCCTGTAGTCCCAGCTACTTGGGAGGCTGAGGCAGAAAGACTGCTTGAGCCCAGGAGTTTGAGGTTGCTGTGAGCTAGGCTGATGGCATGGCACTCACTCTAGCCTGGGCACCAAAGCGAGGCTCTGTCTCAAAAAAAAAAAAGATGCATGCCCAAACCCTACAACACTGAGCTAGAACCCAGGTCTCCCAACAGGCCTGTGTCCTTCACACTTCACTGTGCCTCTGGCCCAAGTTCCCAACAGCACCGCGAGTCAGCTCCTTCTCTAGTGTACCAACCTGTCCAGTCTTTGAAGCCAAACAGACTCGAGTTCAAACGCGAGCTGCTCTGCTTCCAACCAGCGTGACCTTGGAAAAGTCACTTAACCTTCCCTTGTTTCTTCCTTCCTCCCTCGCTTCTGGGATTGTCACAAAAGTAAATGACAAGGCATAAGCAAGAGACTAGCACAGTGCGAGGGGACAAGGACACACCCATCACTGTGTCGAAGGAGAGGCGCAGACCTGCAGGGTGGGGGTGCAGGGGGCGGAGGGGAGGAGGCTTCTGCGAGGGCAGCCCCACAGCGTGTGCTTTCTCTCCTCTCCCCTCCTCCCCCAGGCTACGGGCACGCGGCGCCCAGCACCGATGGCGGCAAGGTGTTCTGCATGTTCTACGCGCTGCTGGGCATCCCGCTCACGCTCGTCATGTTCCAGAGCCTGGGCGAGCGCATCAACACCTTCGTGAGGTACCTGCTGCACCGCGCCAAGAAGGGGCTGGGCATGCGGCGCGCCGACGTGTCCATGGCCAACATGGTGCTCATCGGCTTCTTCTCGTGCATCAGCACGCTGTGCATCGGCGCCGCCGCCTTCTCCCACTACGAGCACTGGACCTTCTTCCAGGCCTACTACTACTGCTTCATCACGCTCACCACCATCGGCTTCGGCGACTACGTGGCGCTGCAGAAGGACCAGGCGCTGCAGACGCAGCCGCAGTACGTGGCCTTCAGCTTCGTCTACATCCTCACGGGCCTCACGGTCATCGGCGCCTTCCTCAACCTCGTGGTGCTGCGCTTCATGACCATGAACGCCGAGGACGAGAAGCGCGACGCCGAGCACCGCGCGCTGCTCACGCACAACGGGCGGGCGGGCGGCTGCGGCGGCGGCGGCGGCGGCAGCGCGCACACCACGGACACCGCCTCGTCCCCGGCGGGCGGCGGCGGCTTCCGCAACGTGTACGCCGAGGTGCTGCACTTCCAGTCCATGTGCTCGTGCCTCTGGTACAAGAGCCGCGAGAAGCTGCAGTACTCCATCCCCATGATCATCCCGCGGGACCTCTCCACGTCCGACACGTGCGTGGAGCAGAGCCACTCGTCGCCGGGAATGGGCGGCCGCTACAGCGACACGCCGTCGCGCCGCTGCCTCTGCAGCGTGGCGCCGCGCTCCGCCATCAGCTCGGTGTCCACGGGCCTGCACAGCCTGTCCACCTTCCGCGGCCTCATGAAACGCAGGAGCTCCGTGTGAACGCCCCGAGGGGCCCGGAGCGCCTGGGGGTGCGGGCGGGGGGCTCCTGCGGGGAGAAGAAACCGCCTTCAGCCCAGTGGGACGCCCCCAACACCCCTCTCCTCTCTCCCCCAGCCCCCCATCTCCGACTGTGCCTGCTCGCACCAGCCGGCAGGAGGCCGGGCTCTGAGGACCCCTGGAGCCCCCATCCGAGCCCTGAAAATTCCGAGAAATGTGAAACTTGGGGGGGTCCGGGGGGAAGGGCAGAAGCTGGGAGCCTCCCATCCCTTTGGAAATCTAAGAAGCTCCCCAGTCCTCAGAGACCCTGCTGGTACCCAGAGCCCCGCCTCCGGAGGGGACTCCATGTTCCGTGTACGTTTGCATCTCTATTTATACCTCTGTCCTGCCAGGTCTCCCACCTTCCCTTGGCTCCAAAAGCCAAGGTGTCTTTGTCCAGGTCACCCCACTCAGTCCCACTCCCCTTTCCCATCCCCGGCTGTGTCTCCCAACCTCCCACTACCTTTGTGTTGTTTTGCATGGCTTTGCAGTTATGGAGAAAGTGGACATCCAGAAGTCCCTAAAGCTAGTCCCCAGAGGGCAGAACAGAAAGCAGGTAGGACAGGCAGGCAGCAGGAGGGGCCAGGGGAGTGGGGGAGGCAGTGGCTCCCCACTCTGTAGGGTGGTCGCACTGGTAGGTGACAGCTTAACTGTCCTCTGGCCACATTCTCATGGGGGGTGGGGGGAGCTCAGCCTTCTAGACACTGCCCTCGTATTCTAGAACAGAAAACTTCAGACTAGTCATCCCCAGCTGTTGCTGATAATTTAATTACCAGCTCTTAAATTTGGGAAGTGATTTTTGGCCTCCGAAAAGTCTATCTTGGCTACTCATTCATTTGAGTCTCACAACAGCCCAGTGAGGTCCCCAGTGCAGGAATTCTTATTCCCACTTTACAGATAAGAACACTGAGGCCCAGACAGGTGAAGTGACTTGCCCGAGGTGATACAGATAGCAAAAGGCAAAGGGGGACAAGAGCCCAGCCTGTTCTTTTGTGCTTTCCTTCCAGCTCAACCTGCTCTTGAAAGCTAAGCTCCTGCCCTACACACCCTGGCGTTGTGGGTGGCTGGGGCTTAAACCAGAACCAAAGGCCCAGGGCTTGGCCACTGCTGAGGCACAGCTTCTACTGCTCTTGGCCAGGAGCCAGGGCTCTGGCATATTGGTGGTGTGGGGGCATTTCTCTCTGGGCTTCCTGATTATAAACAAGGAAGTCCTTGGGACCAAGGTAAGGAGGGCTGGGTCTCATGGAAGGAAGGCCAGGAGCTGGGGCTCTAAGAGTTGGCAGAGTGGCCAAGAGAGCTGGCAGGCCTATCCTATGGGACATCATCCCTGGCCCCACAGCCAGTGTTGGTGCCTGTGTCCCTAGTAGCTAGAGTTGAGCTGAGACTGCGGCAGGGAACAGCCTCCCAGGTGAGGGAGGTTTTGGACCTGGTGTGCCCTCTGCCCACCCCTCCTGCAACCCAGAACCCAGATGAAGGGCAGCAGATGGAGGTGATGCCTGAGGCTCACTACTGGGGACCCACAGGTAAAGCTGGCATAGTGGCCAGGCCAGCATCAAAGGGCAGATGAGGAACCTCTCCTCCTGCAGTACTGCCCTCCCATGCTGTCCCCCTGTCAGCTCCCTAACACCGCCAGCAGTGCCAGCCCTGGCATTCAGGGAAGCTGGAGGGAGGGGCCTGCAGGGTGGCCAGCCTCAGGCCGGCCCAGCCGCATCCTCTAGTCTCTGGGGACCCCTGGGGCGAAGAAGTCTAGCCTGTGTGTGAGTCCTGTCTCAGTGTGGAGGAGCTGGCCGCCCACGTGCCAGGAGAGCAGGGCCCGCACCTGGGGTGCCCTCTGTGTTTACGTTGGGGTGGGGGGCAGTGCTGGCTGCCTCTGTCCTGTGTGTGACCCTGCCCTCGAGGGGTCCTGTCCCGTCATTCCCGAGGGAGCCACAACCAAAGTTGCAGAGAGACGGTGGGGAAGGAGGCAGAATGGCCCCGGGGCAGCGCGCGGCAGACTGCTCAGTCTCCGCTGGGGTCTTTCCTAGGGAACTGGAAGGCCAGTGTCGCTTCTCCCTCACCCCTCCCACTGCAGGCAGCCTCTCTGCTTCCCCAATGCCTTATGCCTGGGCACACTGCCACAGAATATGCAATATGTGTGGGCGACATGCCCCTGCGCCCACACCCCCACCCCGGGCAGCCCCTGGACTCCAAAGGCTGTGGCTGCCAAGGCCTCCCCTCAGCTCCTCCTGCCTATCTGTCTTCACACTGAGAATGGCGCCTAATAAATGCTGTCCACGGAGACCAGGCTCAGGCTCCAGCTGTTTCTGTCATCGGATGCCCTTTCCGCTGCAGGGAACTGCCATCGCCCTCCGCTGGGTCCACAGACATACCTGGCTGAGTCGCCTGGGCTCACTGGGCTCTGCCTCGGGGGACTTCAGGAGGAGCCAGGTGGCATTGCTAGCTGCCCTTTTGGGATTTCCCAGAAGATCTAGATATTCTTAATGTCATCCTGGAACAGACTGTGAAAGCAAGACCTTAGACATTACTTGGTCCTATTGTCCCCCTTGTACATGATTAAACGGAGCCCCAGGGAGGGCAGGTCACCTGCCCTGAATCACACAGTAGTGAGTGACAGACCTAGAATAAGAATCAGAATTGGGGATTTCCTAGTCCTGTGCTCCCCCTCCTCACACAGCCTGTAGAGTCCTGCTGAGACCACCCCAGCCGACAGTGACATCCCCCGTCAGCCAAGAGTGGGTATACCCTTCTCCTCCCATAGGGACCCCCTGGCTTAGTGACCTAACTAACCCAAAGATGTCTCTTTCAAAGAGAACACATCACAAGCACCTTTCTTCAGGGTGTATATTTCTCTGGGTCTCGAGGGATTCCACAGGCTTGGGACTGGGCCCTGGAGGCCAGGACAGACCCAGAGAGCAGATCCACCCTGCCCAGTTGGTGCTAGCCCCCGAAGTCAGCTAGCCAGTGGCCTTCACGCTTCACTGAGTACAACCCACCATAATACGTTTATGCCACAACTCCGTATCTACCTGTCTACATACCTACCGATCTTTCATGAAATAATTATACTTAATAACCTGCTATATCCAGTGGCGTTAATACATTCTATTCTATTTCATGTTATAAAATGCTGGTCATGATCCACTAAATTGATGTCTCTACCCACTAATGGTTTGCTACCTGCAGATTAAAATGTAAATACACTAGAGAAATAAGGGGGTGGGGGTGGGGACACTTTCTCCCAGGCCTCCCTCCTACCTATGTAGGTCAATTGAAAGATACAAAGAGGGAACAACTTATGGGGGCTGGTCAGGGTTCAAAGGAAGAAGTGGTGGTACCCACACACCCCTGGAGACAGGACACAGCCCTCCTGCGATGCTCCTGATCCTTGCAACTTTGGGCAGCTCCTCGCTAGCCTGCAGCCATCAGGGTGGCCACAGCAGAACTGGGGCTTAGCTGCCATTGGCTCATCCACTCCTAGGGCCACCTCATCCAAATCTGGGGCTCTCAGCCCAGTGCAGTGGCATGAGCCAGTAGTCCCAGCTACTTGGGAGGCTGAGGCAGGAGGATGGCTTGAGCCCAGAAGCTCAAGACTGCAGTGAGTGATGATGACGTCACTGCACTCCAGTCTGAGCAACAGAATAAGACCCTGTCTCTTGAAAGGCAGACAGGCAGGCAGGAAGGAAGGAAGGAAATAAATCTGGGGCTCACTCTCCATGGCCTACCTGCCTCTGTCTTTCTTAGAACAGCTAAATGCAACAACAGCAGAAACCAGTCTATTTTTGAGGTTGGCAGTGACCAATCCAAGGTTACTTTTACTTTCTTAAGCAGTTCTTGCAGGACATAAACATGCTGACATTTACCCAACCTTCTTCATTGCCTGGGGCGAAATAACCACAAACTGACCTTGAAGGGATCCCCAATGGGCTGCATTTAACCCTGTGTCTCTGGGGGTGGCCAGAGTGTGGCAGCTGGGAAAAGCAGCCGTGGACCACAGTGCTGTGCCTGCTCACAGCTCATAAGAGCTCAGAATTGCCAGTGGTTCTAGCATGGGCTCTTCATCTGTAGACAGCACCATCCCCACCCACCTCACTGCTACACAGCTGAGACATCCTGCACTCAAAGATATATGTACAGCAAAACAAAAATAGAAAACCAGCGCCGCAGAGTGGAGGTGGGGTATAAATATACCAAGATCCCTGCTGATTTGGTTACTTGGGGTGAGCATCAGATGGAGACAGAAGCTTCCAGGAGCCAAGAGAGAAAGGGAGATACAATGAAAACTCTTTCCAAAACATGTCCCATGGTACGCCTTGTGGGAAAAAGGTTCCTTGGCCAAATGAATTTGGGAAAACACCATACACATCACCCACTCATGGAGCTTCACAAGACATTTTAGCTCAGTCAAGGTTATGAAAAGTCCTATAGCAGGCCAGGTGCAGTGGCTCATGCCTGTAATCCTAGCATTTTGGGAAGCCAATGTGGGAGGATTGCTTGAGGCCAGGAGTTCAGCCTGGACAATAATTAGACCCTTTCTCTACCAAAAATACAAAAATAATTAGCCAGGCATGATGGCATGCACCTGTAGTCCTAGCTACTTGGGAGGCTTAGGAGGGAGGATCTCTTGAACCCAGGAGTTTGAGGTTGCAGTGAGCTATGATGATGCCATTGTACTCCAGCTTGGATGACAGAGTGAGACTCTGTCTCAAGATCTCAAGAAAAAAAAAAAAAAAAAGAAAAGGCCTGTGGCATCTGCAGCAAAGATACTGTTTACCTTTGCTTAACCCACCATTACCCAGACTCATTCCAAACACCAGACCCTCTGTTTGCATCATTTGCATGACATCTCTTCAAGGCCTGTAGCTCACAGAGCATGCTTTGGGAAATACTGATCTGTCAAAATCTTACTGATAAAGAGAGGAGTTAATCCCTCCTCTTCATCCCGAATAAATTCTAAAAGGAGTTCAGCTTCTAAGTCCTTCCATAAACGAAGACCATAACAATACAAAATACATAGCACTCTCAGTTATGTGCCAGATACAAGGCTCAGAGCAGCCCACTTGCCCCTAAAACAGGCAATGGATTGGTGGCAGAGCCGGGATTTGACCCCAGGCCAGTGGCTGTGCACTACCCCCCTCGCTGTGCACTGTCCCGTGACGGTTCATGTCTTCAGCAAAGGTTTGCCAGAAGTTGCAGAGCTATTTATGATGTGGTCATTTCTTATTCAGAACCTTGGTGAGAGAGGAGGCTGTAACCTAAATATGTCATCCTTCAAAGATGACAGATTCCGACAGAGCTAAGAAATCCTATTCCGCCTCAGGCCCTCACATGCCCACGTTTAGGGCCATTTAGCTCTTGCTGCAGACTCAGCATTCTCCCACCCCCGCCCCGGCCCAAACCCAACAGCCTCCCTACAATTCATCTCAGGAAGCCAGGGCAGGAGAGGGCCGTCCAGGGCCAGAAAGCATTTATTCAGGATGGACACATTGCCAGAGGGAAGAGCAACTGCCCACATTGGCCAAGCCAAGCTCCCTGCCCCAGGCTCTCCTCATGAGATCCGCTGTGCAACAGGAACCTGCTTCTTCTCAGTCCCAAAGCCGGATTCAGGTAAGAAGGCCAAGTGACTCTGTTTCCCAAGGAGCTCCTGGAAAGCCCAGTCTATAGTGGACTCAGTCCCCTCATTTTGTCCATCCAGACAGGAGCCTCGATGCTGGAACCGCAGCCCTCCTGCACTGCCATCACCTTTCGTCAAAGGTTGCAAAGAGGCCGGGCACGGTGGTTCACTCCTGTAATCCCAGCATTTGGGGAGGCTGACATGGGAGGATCACTTGAGGCCAGGGGTTCAAGACCAGTCTGGACTTCAAAGCATGAGACTCCCTGTCTCTACAAAAAATTTTTTAAAAATTAGCCAGGAGCTGTGCCACATGTCTGTGGTCCCAGCTACTGGGGAGACTGAGGCTGGAAGATGGCCTGAGCCCAGAAGTTCAAGGCTGTAGTGAGCTATGGTCAAGTCACTGTACTCCAGCCTGAATGATAGACTGAGACCCTGTCTCTTACAAAAAAAAGGAGGGGGGTGCTGCAAAGAAACACACACACATTCACACATACCCCTTTAGATCATTGGTCCAACTTCTCTGTTTCAGAAGAAGGAATTTTGGTTCACAGCGAGGAAGTGACATGTTCAAGGTCATGAAGCAAGATAATGGTGCAGCCAGAATTAGTATCCACATATCCTAACTTTCCAACACACACACACACACACAGTGGAGGCCCAGCCCTCTCTGACTCTGATTTCGGATGAAAGCTGCTAATCTCTGGGGTTGAGTCATTCGGATGCTGGAAATTTACCACATCCACATCTGGGCAAGCACAGAGACTCACACTCCTGCCCTCAGCTCCGGGGCAGGGGAGGGCCTTGTGGGTGGTGCCAGCCTCTCAGGGCAGGGACCGTGATGGAACTGACCTCCATGAATGACCCTGTCTGGCTGGTGATCCCTCGGCCCCAGGAATCCACGTTAGCGGCATTTTGCGTTTACAAAGCTCTCTCACATCATTCTCTCATTTGATCACCAGAGCAACGCTGTGCTTTAGGCGAGGATTAACACCCCCATTTTACAGATGATGAAACTACAACTCAGAAAGACCCGGTCCTTGAGCAGGGGTTGAGCAGGGATTGTTCCACACCCACCTCCGTATCTGAAGCTCTGGGCAGAGCCCCAGGCGTTTCCTTGGTGAAGTGCTGGGCCAGGGCTGCAGCCCAGTCCCAATAGCTTGGTGGCAGTGTCCCACTTTGCCAGCCTTGCAGCCTGCTGGGCAGGTTCCCATGGGCTGGGGAGCCCCCAGGTGGACACACATGGTTCACAGAACCCATTAGCCAAAGGAGATGGGAGTTGGGAACACTCCACCCACTTCACCATGTGCCCTGGACAACCTCTGCCCAGAGCCCTAGACTTGGGACCAAGGGCAGCCAAATATCCAGCCAACAACCCTTACCCTTCCGCTGGAAGGGACAAAGGTCCCTGGAAAAAAGGTCATGGCTTTGACACAGGACAATTCCCCAAATCAACACTGTTCCACAGTTCTTGTTCTCTGAAAGAGGAAACATGTGACCAGGTCACTCCCAACCGCAGAACACACGCTGGACAGCGGAAGTGCAGACACCCCCTGTGACCCCCCCACCTCTCCCCATGCTCCCCACCCTCATTCAAACAGGCACGGAGAGTGGAGCAGCAAGCTTGTTTCAAAAGTAGACATCCAGCCAGGCATGGTGGTGCTTGCCTATAGTCTCAGCTATGAGAGAAGATGAGATGGAAGGATCGCTTGAGCCCAGCAGTTCAAGGCAAGCCTGGGCAACATAGTGAGACCCTCTCTTGACAAAAAATTTTAAAAACTATTCAGGTATGGTGGTGCACATGCCTGTAGTCCCAGCTATTGGGGAGGCTGAGGTGGGAGGATCACCTGAGCCCAGGAGTTCAAGGTTGGAGTGAGCTATGATTGCATCACTGCACTCCAGCAAAAGTGGACAACACCCAACCAGGGAAGAAAATGCCATCTCCCCTTCTTGCAGTTTCTGTATGTGATCCCCAGCAACATAGCTCATTTCTTTCCCCAGGCTGACAACCCACAGCTAGAGTGATCCTCCCTCCTCTCTCTTATTAATAGTTACCCAGGCTGGGGAGAACTGAGGGCATCTCTCTGCTCTTGGCTGTGCATCATGGTGGCAAATCCCAGGGCAAGAGAAAAAGTCTGTGCCTGTCACAAACCTTTCAAGCCAGGCCTCTCCTGTGCTGAAGCTGAGCAGTTGCTCTTTTTAATGTCAGTGCAAGACTGCACACTTAGCGCCACTGGCTGGTTCCAGGTTTTTGATGATGTTCCAGGTGTTGATGCCTTAAATCTGTCCCTGCTCTCTCCCAGCCCCACAACACCCACTGATTTGGTAATCCAGCCTTTTGTGCCATTACTCAAGCCTTTGATGAAAATATCAAAGAGGACAAGACCAGATAAAGGACCCTTAATTCAGGGCAACTTCTATTCCAGCATGCTCTTGGTGAGCTGTTGCTGGCTCCAGCTACTCACCACTTCCTTTTATCTGTGCTCTAAAGTTGTCTGTTTAATCAAAGCTGGCAGGTGGCTGGGTTCCAGCACATTGCCATAGCTCCCTCGGCCCTAAATATCAGTGACCTGGGCTGGGGATTTGAACTTGCTGAAGACAGCGTGTGCTTCCTCGCCTGGCTCAACCTTCACTCCTCCCCCCAACCACCAGCACCTTGTCTGGCCTCCTCATTTACTAAGCTCTGCCCAGCCCAACCCCCATCCCAGCTCCAGAGGTGGGCATGGCCCTTCTCAGCCCCTTCCTAGATCAGACTTGGTCCCTCTCAGGTAACCGATCTGTCCTGGACGGGCGGGAGTAGGGGGCTGTACCTAGAGTACTCAGGATGGCCTCCAAGCGTTGAGATCTGCCACAGGAAACTTACCGGCCAGGGCCCGTAGGTCAGTGGGCGCTGGGTGTGTGGAGCGAGTTCGATGCAGGTGCCAGGAGCCGGCTGGGAGTGTTAGTGACTCCTCCCACCACCCCTGCGGAAGTAGGTGCAATTGTCTCCATCCAAGGGTGAGGAAATGGGGCTCAGGGAGGTCACTTCGCTTGTCCAAAGTCACCCAATCAGTAAGTGGCAGAACCAGGTTTCAAACCCAAGGCTATGTGGCTCCACCTTCCACATCCATCCAGCCACTACACCCTCCGCCTCTTGGTGCCACATTATTTTCTTACCTTCCCAGGTTTACCCCCTACCCTACCCCGGGGCAGTTGGGGACCGAGGATCCTGTGTCAGCAGCTCTGGAAGACAGGGTACGCCTGTACCCAGCCCTTCCTGACCACTCCCTCGAGACAGCGGCAGGTTGGTGCAGTGACATCAAGCCGTGGGGAAAGCACTCCAGGGTTCCTGAGACCCAAGCAACTGGGGATTAATCTTTCAGATCTGGCACCACAGACACGATAAGAATCTGCTGCCACCTGCCCTCTCCAGCCCCGTCACGGTGAACAGATGGGCAGACCCTCTCTGGGGGGTCTAAGTAGGGCTCTGCTGAGGTTGCTGGGCGGCAGGGAGGGGGGCCAGTTAGACAGTGGGGGAGGGATGGAGAGAGAAGGGGTGGGGAGATAGGGCAGACCAGCCCACCCACCCTGCCCTGGTCCCTGGGTGGGCGCTGCCAACAGAGCATGCTCAAAACAGCCTTAGCCGGCATTACAGAGGTCCTGGCGCCAAGTCGGGTGGTAACACAGACGACATTTCATGTCCTTTCTAACTCCAACCTGTGCAGCCTAAGCCCACCAGAGCTGACCAGCTACAGAGACTAACCGCTCAGGTTCCAGAGGGAGGCTCGGGCAGCGTGGCTCAGAGCACCCAGTTCCTGGCCAGGCCCAACCTCCGCCTTGGCCTCACCGTCACGTGAGCACAGAGGGTGGAACTTAGTACACACACCAGCACCGACGAGTCTGAAAATCACCCTGCACCACAGAAGCCAGGCAAAAAGAGCATGTACTGCATGTGCCTATACGAATCTCTAGAAAATGAAGGCTAATCTGGAGGCACAGAGAGCAGATCTGTGGGTGCCTTGGGTGGGCAGTGCAGGAGAATGGGATTAAAAAGGGGAATGAGAGAAGGTTGGGGTGATGGACACATTCGTTCTCCTGATTGTGGTGATGGTTTCACAGGTGCATATATATGTGTGTGTGTGTGTATGTGTCAAAACTTATTAAATTCTATATTTTAAATATGTGTAGTTTATTATATGCCAATTTTACCTCAAAAAAGCTGTTTTAAAAAAAACAAGCTACAGAGGCATTGCACACAGCCCACCAGGTGAGCTGAGCACCCCCACACCCATCTTGTCCTGGTGACCAGGCGGGCGGGGGAACAAGTCCCCCATGCCTCTTTTCAGATGGCCTGCGGGGAGGCCACCAATGCTAATGGCCAACTTCTGCCCACCCCAACCCAGGCTGGGGCAGCCACTGTGTCACCAGTGTCATTAAGGCGGATACACATTATGGTCTATAGATGTAACAGGTAACCCGAGGGCCCCTGTGAGAGGTTGCTGGCACAAGGCAGACACCAAGCAAAGGTCAGTGAGGTAGGAGGTAACCCGAAACATTGTGCTTCTGCCTAGTGAAATGGGGACCCCCACCCGGCCTGCCAAGCTGGGGGTAAATGGAAAGTCCCCAGAACCCACAAAAGAGCAGCATTTCTTTGGCTGTTTCTTTGCCTTCTAAAATCCCCCTCCCGGCTCCTTCCAGGAATTCTGAAGGGTCTCACACCACCTAAACCACTATGGAGTGGCCACGGTTTACCTCTGTGGCTCCCGGGCTGGCACCCACTCTGGGGTCAGGGACAAGGCACCAGGAGGCCCAGTCATCCTGCCACCTGCTGCCTGGGCTGGAGCTGCCGAGGGTGACGGCCGGGGGTGGCTCCTCCTTCACAGCAGTAGGACAAGTGGGCCACCCTGCTACTCAGGCTGCGGGGCTCTGCCCAAGGAGGACAGTCCGCACACCCCACCCAACTAGTGTCACACTCTGTTCATGGTGTCTGATCCTCCAAAGTTCTGTGGTGGGTTTAGTGAAAATGCATCAGGATTTTACCCACACCCCTCCCTCCGAGGACTCGGGCTCCTCTCCTGAGTGCACGAGGACGGGCCTGAGCGGCAGGACCCAGGCGAAGCCCAGTGCCGCGTTCCCTTGGCATTGCCCTTGTGGGCTGGCTGCCTGCCTTCAGTGAGGCTGGCTGAGAAGCACCTGGGACCCTGATGCGAAATGACCCCACAGCCCTTCAGGTCAATCCAGCTGGGCAGGTCTGCATTGCCAGACCAGTCCAGTGCTAGGGGCCGGGCCCCAGGGACAGGGTGGACAGAGCCTGCTGCTTCCTGCACACCAGGAGTGTGGGCACAAGGCTGATGGAGCCCTGCAGAGACGAAGGTCAGGGTGAAGGTGTGGGCCGAGTGCCAGCTGACACAGAGAGGGCTCCCAGGCTGGGGAGGGGTGTCCCTGACAGAGCCTTGAGGAATGGAGGAATCCAGCAACTGCTGAAGCATTTCAGAGGCAGGAAATCAAGCGAAGCCCCAACAGGGGAATGTTCTCAGAGGGATCTAGAACAATGAGAAGCGCCCAGGGCTCCTTAGGAAGAGGAGGGAGTGGGCTCTGTGAGTCAGGGGCTGTGTCCATCTCCTTTGTGGTCATATCTCTGGAGCCTCACCCCACACCTACACCTGCAGGCATCAACAGGGGATCATGAAAGTGTGGGAAGGAGGGAAGAAGGAAGGGAAGACGGGAGAATGGAAGGGAGACCTTGGGGACATCCACCAAGGTAGGATGCTTAGCTATGTTGCCCCACCTGCTACAGGGAGCCAGGGAAAGTTTCAGAGCAGAGAAAAAAAATCCATGTAATTTAGAGTTTCCAGAAGATTCACCTGGCATCACTCATTCCTGATGGCTGTTCCTAGGCTGTCTCTCCACACCAGCCTGGCAGGGGAGCAGCAGGAGGGCACAGAAGCAGGCGCTTCTCTCGGGCTGGGAGACCTAGGGCGCCCCGCTGCTGCCTCCAGAGCTGAGGTCAGCCACTCCCCTGCTGGCAGGGAGGCCAAGGAGAGCCTGTGGCACAGTCGAGAAGGTAGAAGATTGTCAAAACCCTGTGATGGAATCTCCCCTGCTCTCCTGGTCTCACGTGTGCACACCAGCCTTCAGCCAGCCCATGAATCAGATGTCCTGGCAGCCACTCCTGCGGCCCAGTGGCCCTGCGTCCAGGGCAAGGAAGAGGAGCAGAGACCTGCAGACACCACTTGGCTCCCTCATCACCCAACAGTGAAGGAGGCTTGGAAGGCCCTTGTCCCTTGCCCAGGACACCACTACCCTGGGGTCAGCCCCCAGCTAGGAGTGGTGGTGGGCGTGTGAAGGGCCCCAGGACACTGTGGACAGATTTCTGCTGGGGGCCAGGCTGCTGTCAGGCTGTTCCCAAGTCAAGCGTCCAAAATGAACAGCGGCTGCCTTCCCCCCAATGCCCTCCCGCTCTGGGCTGCTAAAATGGACCCCACAATCCACCATAACCTGCACCGCACTTTATAGTTGGCCCCTTCGTCCATTCTCTGAGCCTGGCACACATGCAGGGCAGTCAAAATCCTGCCCACTCTACGGACGAATGTGCCACACTTCGGATGGGCCAGTGGGCTTGTCCATAGTCCACAGCTGAAATGCTTAGGGAGAGGGGGTCTCCGCTTCCCAGCCAGCCTCAAAAAGGGCTTTCCAGAGACCTGTGCCACAGGACCTGGCTAGCCCAGCCCCAGTGGGTCTGCCGTTACTGAAAGGGACCACCAGACAGGGACCGCCTCCCCCAACCCCTCTATTTGCCAACGAGGAGAGGCGATGCAGAAAGCTGAAGCAATGTCTCTAAAGTCACACGAGAAAAGTAACAGAGGCCAGCTGGATCCAGAGACCCTCTGAATTTAACAGTTATGGAGAGGACTTCTCCCCTTTCTTCCTGTTGATTCATGGTGAAAAATGGGACCGTCGCAACCAGACAAAGCCCCATGTCACCGGGAATGTCCTGAGCGCCATCAGGAAGTCAGCCATTCCCTGACGCAGGGAAGAGAACTGCTACCTCTGCTTGTTCCTACCAGATGCCAGACACTGCACGAGGCAGGACTCACTGTCCCCGTCTCACAGATGAAGGCCCAGCCTCAGGGCGGTTGAGTGGCCTGCCTAAGGTCACCCAGGTGGTAAGGGGCAGTTTTCAGCTTGGACTGAAAACTCAATGCCCTTCCACTCCACTCCCCTCTCCTCGGAACTGTGCCACTGTGCTGCTATTTGCTTTGGGATGGAGTTGCCCTCCATCAGCTCAGCTGGCACCCCCATTACCTCCAGCCGGCTCTCTCCCACCTGTGCTCTGGGTCTTCAGTTCTGTCCCAAAGCCCTGCCTGGAGGGCTAAGGCACCTAGAACTATTTCTCCTGCAAGGCCTGCTGGGACCACCGCGCCCAACCCAGCCCTGGAGAATCACTGGGGATCTGCAGTTTAACAAGAACATTCTGGAAGCACTGTTTTGAAGAAATAAAGACTAAGATCTGCTTCTCTCCAGAAGGGCTTTGGGTCTGTTTTCGAGAAAGGAAAACCAATTTCCACTCTACAGCACCAAGGCCAAAGCAAGCTGATACGCCCCCTTGGCGGGATTAAAAAAGGTCCCCTTCCAGGAGGTACAACCTTGTGCGGTGAGCAAATAGCCCCCTTCCGTGGGGAAAAAGGGGGTGTCCCTTCCTCCAAGCACACAGCTCCAGGGCCGCTCTGCTGGGAAGGAGAAGATGTGCAGAGGCCGTGGCTGAAGCCCCCCACACCACGGTCACCTTCCCCTCAGGAGAAGAGCATCCTCGCCCCAACACACACACATTTTCCCTGGCTGCGCCCCTCCCCACGGAAGCCAATCTCTCCTCTGCAGAAAAGGTCATTTTGCCCAGTCACTAAAAATTACACATTGACAGCCCTAGTGTTTTCCAGCAGTTCCAAATGCTGACTTTGACCAAAAACTTCTTAAAAAGGTCATCTTCCCTTCTTATTTCATAGGATTTACATTTTATAAGATTTACACAGAACCACTTTTAAGAAAAGATATGCAGGGCTTTCCTCACATCCCCATAAAAAGGCAAATCTGGGAGCTGTCTACATTAGATGGCTAGGGGATTCCTTCTGAGCCTGGCAGTGATGAGCTCCTACAGACCAGCACGGGATGCCTCGGCCTCAGACAGGAAACGCCTTCCGCCGAGAAGCCCTCGTGCCTCCCCTCTGGGCTGGTGGCCGTAGGTATCCCTCCCCAGGAAAAGCTGTCCTCCTTAGAAACAGCTTCCCCATTATCTGCAAGCATGACGGCTGTACTTACTGAGCGCTCTAATGTGTCAGGGACAAAGACTGCTAACAGAACTACATCCAGGCCGGGCGCGGTGGCTCACGCCTGTAATCCTAGCACTCTGGGAGGCCGAGGCAGGCAGGTCCCTCAAGGTCAGGAGTTCGAAACCAGCCTGAGCAAGAGGGAAACTCCCATCTCTACTAAAAATAGACAGAAAATTAATTGATCAACTAAAATATATAGAAAAAATTAGCCGGGCATGGTGGCACATGCCTATAGTCCCAGCTAGTCGGGAGGCTGAGGCAGCAGGATCGCTTAAGCCCAGGAGTTTGAGGTTGCTGTGAGCTAGGCTGATGCCACGGAACACCAGCCCGGGCAACAGAGTGAGACTCTGTCTCAAGAAAGAAAAAAAAAAAAAAAGAACTACATCCAATATCATGCTCGACAGATCAGCCTTTTGAGGTAGCTGTGACTCATGTATCCATTTTACAGATGGGAAACAGGTTCAGAGGTCAACAGACCTGCCCACCCCTGGTTCCACAACCCGTGCCCTTCAAGGCCCTCTGCCCCAGCCAAAGCCGCCGCCCTGCACTGACAGGGGGAAGAAACCTCCAGCCAGGCCTGGGTCTCACCAACCTCTCGAGCTGGACCACCCTGCCATCCTGCTTGAGGACACGAGACTGTGCCCTCCACCATCCGACCTCTGGAGAAATGGAGCCCTCAGAACCTCTTTTTGTTATTCTGCCTCTCCATGAAGCACTCACCCTTTTTGATACTTTTTTTTTTGAGACAGAATCTCACTCTGTTGCCCAAG